TTGCTACAAATATACCCCAGCGACTTAAGACTGCTTTTGTGCTCCAGGGTCACTTTTGGCATCATTGACCTCTCGTCTGATGTGATGTGTCTTGAAGCGTCAAATTTGTATTTATGCAAACACAATTGAATCTGCAATGCAGTGGAAGATTTTCAATGAATAACGACTGTTTCTCACACAAAGCATCACGTGACTTCAGAAGGGTTTAGTCTTGGGTCTTGACTACACCTCGACTTTCATGGTGCATCTTTGGACATTTCTTTCCCTTTCATTCATTGTATTGAAAAGAGCAGCTTGGACATTTTTCAAACGGTCTTCTTTTTTCCACAAAAGAAAGTAAGTCAGTCGGGTTAAACTGGCATGAAGGTAAGTAAATGATGACGTCTGAAGGAGACTCTCACCGAGCTGTGCGTGGTGTCAGCGCTGCGGAGGTACGGACACGGCCCCGAGCAGAAGTTGGCGTGATACCCTTTCGGCTCGTGGATCCACCTCCAGCCCAGATCCTGCCGGAAGTCGATGTACAGCGGCCGAACGCAGCAGTTCTCCTCGTAGTTTCTGAAAGCAGAAGGAAAGCCGTCACTTTCTCCACCTGTCTGTTCACATCCTCGTGCTCTTTGGCTCCTGGCGTGGATTCTGCATTCATTCAGAGACGTTTCCATGCACTTTTCACTTGGATGTTTCGGAGACTTCTATTTCGGTTCTGTATGGCCTTATAAACACGTCAGACAGTCTTTTGAGGCTCAGAAATTCCACTGTAAGGTGTGTCATTTTTTCCCTCCTGGATCCGACCCAGGTGTGGAGTGCTAACAGAGAGCCACACACTAAGGAGCCAGTGCACTACATAGCATACTGGGACAAATCCAAACTTGCAAGCCCTTGCAGAACCTCCCAGACGCTTCGAGCCGTCAGGTGCCAATTAAAAAGTTAATTCCCAAGGGGAAAATCTCTCTAGACACATGAGGTACGCTGCTGCTTACTGCAACATGAAGCAGGGATGAGAATACGTATTTTAAAGGTCTTGCCATCTTTGAGAAGAAAGCAGATCAAATTCACCTTGCATTCCTACCTACAGATTAACATTTACGTTAATGTATTTGGCAGACACTTTTATCCAAATGACGCTTTTCATAGTTTATCAATGCATGCATTCCCTGGGAATCAAATCAACGACCGGAGCTTCAGATTCGCAATGACGGGATCAGTACACACATTTCTTCATAAATTATGACTATTTCCCTAAAAGTTTGAGTTAGAATGGTTTGCAAGAGTGCGATTATACACACAATGAGGCTGTGAAAGCGACTAGAGATTAGATGAGTTTACCAGTTCAAGTTACACTGCCAGCATCCCACTGTAATCCCACTTGTTAGCAACCGCCTTTTTCAAGATGTGTAAAAGCTTTTAAAATATCTTGGGAGACTATCTTGAGCTTGTGTTCACCACAGACCTTACTTCAGACATTTGTGACCCTGGACCACAAAACCAGTCATAAGGGTCAATTGATGTATGGTTTGTTAGGATAGGGCAATATTTGGCCGAGATACAACTATTTCAATGGAACTGTATGTGCTAAAATGCCCGTTTCCAGGTTTTGGCCCACAAAAACACATCATCCCTGTAGAACTCATTACTGTGTGATGATGCCTTCAAATGGTTTCAAACAGCTTATTATGATTATTATGTTGAAGAAACACTCACGAGAAGCAGTAGTTGGTGTCCAGCGCGCGTTTGCGTCGTCTAGAGGTGGGCAGCACGTCCAGCCGGTGTGGAGGCAGCATCATCAGGATCAGATGAGGGAGAAGCTGCTCCTTCTGCTTCTTTAGTCGACCCAAATCCCAGCGGTTCTGCTCCTCGTACTCACTGTCCATCCCTGAGGACACAGCAGAAGCACAGTCAGTCTAAAACTGACACACAGGCTCGCATTAGAAACCTTAAATGTTCACTTTAAAGCACTCAAGCACACGAGTTCACAGAGCGTCTGATGTGTATTGCACACACAAAACAGCAAGCGCTTTCTCAAAACAAAACCAGTCTTTACACAATTTCTCAGAGTCAGTGTGCTCAGGTTTCTAGTCGTGATACAGCGAGCTTTTCTGAGAAACAACTAGTCACTGGAGTTGACAATCTTCCCACAACCATACGATCTGCCCTGCCTGAAAATTTAATAACAGATGGAAATTCTGACATCTACACACGTTTTCCACTCGTGTTGTCAGTACAGCTGTTTTCTGAGATTTCTGCAGCATTAGTTTACCACTTTGTTATGTGCTATTATTGCAGTATCGTCGGTTTCAGATAAAAGCACCCCAAAGCAAGAACTGCGTATTATGTCTCGCTGCAAAGTGGACCAGAGCTCACGCTGACGTCTGGATTCAGCTTCAGCAGCACTTATTCCTGTTGAGAAGTAGAAGAGCGTTCCTGAAGCCCGGCACATACAGCAGCTCCAGCTCTCCGTCTCCTGGAGCATCTGTGTATTCAATCTGTTTGTGATAGCAAAAGCAGCTCGGGTCCCAGGAGAGGCGTTGCCAATAGATACGGACACTCCTCTTTCATTGAGGGCCAAGAGTCTGAGTGCCCACAGTGGCGGTGCATTCCAGCCAGCGCGTTCCCAAAACCCCAGACACCCGCGAGGCCCCCAGAACTAAGTGAGATTCTATACGGCAGCACATTCCCATGATCGCAGCGTTCGACCGCTGCTGGACCGAGCGCTGAGGCCTTTATCTCAGCAGAAGGCGTGTGCGATGAAGGTGCAACGAGACGAGCTGACGGCACATCACAAGAGCTTATGGAAGAATCCTGAGAAACTGAGCAATCATCATATTGTCCACTGTAAAACGATTACTGGAGTGTCTTTTACAAGAAAATACTATGTCAGTCTGTCTACTTCAAAATTTCACATTTAATTCAATGTTACTTGCCATTTCTATGGAATTATTTGTTTACAATTTCTTAGTGAAAACTGTTTCAAACACCCAGTGTTCCTGCACCAGTTTTTTTTTTCTTCAGTGTATTACATCTCAGAGAAAAACAGTCAGGAGATACTGCATTACCACAATCAGCTCTGATTGTCGCCTTAATTCATTCCTCATCCACTTTTATAAGTTGTTGTAATTATAGCAGACCTTACAGGGGTCCTATTATGCTTTTTCAACTTTAGTTAGTGTGTAATTTTGCTGTTTGAGCATAAAAAAGTTCTGCAAGGTTACAAAGCTCAAAGTCCACTCTAAAGGCAGATATTCTGTTTAACAGAAAACACTTTTTAAGAACTACAACAAACTGCTCGTTCGGAGTCGGACTACAGCGCACTTCTTCCAGATATTGTAGTCACAATGTCACTCATTTAAATAATTCCCACCCACAGAATATGCAAAGCAAAGGGGGGACGAGGCCTTGTTGAGCCATCTGGTGTCTGGCTGCAGTATAGGTCATAAATCCTGCCCTCTCTATGTATACGAATGGTATCCAAATGAATCACTACTGCGCAGACTCTGGCTCCAAACGATTCACTACTGCGCAGACTCTGGCTCCAAACGATTCACTACTGCGCAAACTCTGGCTCCAAACGATTCACTACTGCGCAGTGCCGTCTCAGCCAGACTCAAACTCCAAATGATTCACTACTGCGCAGACTCGGGCTCCAAACGATTCACTACTGCGCAGTGCAGTCTCAGGCTCCAAGGGCTCCAAACGATTCACTACTGCACAGACTCGCGCTCCAAACAATTCACTACTGCGCAGACTCAAGCTCCAAACGATTCACTACTGCGCAGACTCTGGCTCCAAAAGATTCACTACTGCGCAGTGCAGACTCAGGCTCCAAGCGCTCCAAACGATTCACTGCTG